CGTTTGGTATTGCTAATGCCAAGGTTAGGTGTTGCCAATGCTAAGGTTTTGGTGTTGCTAACTCTAAGGTTTCAGTGTTTCTAATGCTAAGGTTTCAGTGTTTCTAACGCTAAGTGTTCAGTGTTGCTAACTCTAAGGTTTTAGTGTTGCCAATGCTGAGGCTTCGGTCTTGCTAATGCTGAGGCTTCCGTCTTGCTAATGCTAAGGTTTCGGTCTTGCTAATGCTAAGGTTTCGGTCTTGCTAATGCTAAGGTTTTAATCTTGCTAACGCTAAGTGTTCAGTGTTGCTAACTCTAAGGTTTCAGTGTTGCCAATGCTGAGGCTTCGGTCTTGCTAATGCTAAGGTTTCGGTCTTGCTAATGCTAAGGTTTCGGTCTTGCTAATGCTAAGGTTTCGGTATATAACGAAAGTTCAGACAAAATGAGCCACTGAGCAACAAACAAGCTTCCTGTTTCTATAATCGTATTAATGTACTGGTTGATCAAAACATTCTCACAGCAGGTTAGTCTCTTAAATCTGTTCATTTAGCTGTTGGAGACATTTTGTTCTGAAGATAGCGCTGCAGAGGGTGTGGATCTGGGCCGGCAGGGGGAGGACTGACCCTAAAAAGGAAGGAAGCAAGCAAACATAAAACCTCCATCTCCATTCCTCCTTCTGAAATCAGAGCCGGCTGTTTTTGTGTGATCACAGCTGGAGACTTTGCAACCAGTGAGGAGCCCAGTGATGAATTATCCTTCAGTTGGCAGAGCATAGCAGAAAAGAGCCTTCCCTAAATGTCTGAGGAGACCAAACCCCCGCTGATCTGGCACCAGCTGAACTGGAGCCAAACAGCCTGCGGTGGAGCGCTGCAGACTATCCCGCTGATCTACACTTTATTTATTTGCCTTAAAGGGAATTTTTGGTGTGACTGACCCACAAACAGCCTGACGGTTTATCTGCATGTTGGTGTGAAGCAAAGAAACGTGATCCAGATCTAAAGAGCAAGCAGATCCTTCCATCAAACCCAGTTCTGTGTTTTATTAACCTGACTAATGAATTAATAGATAATTATAGCCAGAATATCTCTTCATTCCCCAAATCCAGGGTTGGAGCATTAATAGAAATGTCATTTTAGAAAACATTCATGCATCAAAAGGCTAACATTGTCCGTGAGATGCTAACAGCAGTGCTATGCTAACCTCGAATGTCTTTAACGCCCAGAAGGTTTTTATCGGTTAAATCATTCCTTCCAATGAGAATTATGGAAACATTCTTTCTTTGTTTGCATGTATCATTATCTTCAGTCTGACATCAGCTAGCTTAACAGCCATCATGGCCTGGAAACCGTTAGCTAACCGCTGTAACTCTGGCGAGTAGAACGTCCTAATGTGAAAGGTTTGTGTACACGAATGATTATAGCAGCTTTTTACCAACATATGGAGATATCTGGTTAATGTTTGCATGGATCGGTGACCACAGACAGAGACAGGAAGTGGAAATCTTACCCTGTTTTAGCGAAGTTTGTCCAGTAGGTCATGACAACTGCACTCAGCATCACGTCGTTCTTGGAGAAGTTGCAGTTGAAAAGATCGGTGGGTCCAATCATTGGGATCCCGAACACGTAGGGAACCTCGTCGCCGTGGGCCGAGTCGGCCCAGCTGGGCTTCATGTCGCTCTGACAGTGGTGGTAGAAAGCGTAGAAGTAGGTGGGCGAGCCGTACTGAGCGTGGAGGTCGGCTGTGGCCACCGCCGGCGCTACCCACTGGTGGTCAGTGAAAAGGGCCACCAGCGTCTTGCGGCGGGTTTCGGGGTTCTCCTTGTCGGCCCAGTCCGTGTACATGAACTTGATGGTCTCCCTCAGGGTGTCCTTTCCTTCTGGGTAGCCGTAAAGATGATCCACAAAGTCAGACACCGCAAAGTCGAAATCGTTGGCGGATACTCCATCCTCACTGTCCACGATGCCGTCAACAAACTTAAAGCCCTCGCCCTGGTTGACCCCCAGCATGATGTCATAGTTGAGGAACTCCCCCTGCTCCATGAGGATCTGGGGGTCATCCGGGATCACGTCTCCGTCGATCACAGGCCCAAAAGCAATGTGGTACTTAGCAGGCGTGACGTACTGCTCGATCAGCTCCTTGTAGCTCTTCTTCTGCAGGCACTCCACCAGGTCGATGGTGTCCAGCATGTTGCAGCCCACCTTCTCAGCCAGGGAGCGGGTGTACTTAGCAGGCTGGTAATTGACCGCCCAGCTGGACAGCGCCGTCCCGCTCTGGATGATGGCTTTCTGGAACAGATCTGAGAGAGAATCTGCTGTTAGTTAAACACCAATGCCACGCTAAGCCCCGCCCACACATCATGAGTCAAAATAAAACCATTCAGAATGTTTACAGTTCAAGGAAAGGGGATTTATTTAGGATTATTTCTCACATTCATATGTTTTAGAGAACCAGAATAAACGAATCAATGAAAAAGA